GAACCCAGTGTGTGGTGCGGGGGCTGCGCACATGTCGCCCCTGCCACTGGTCCTCCTGGCGCGCCAGCACCGCGTCGCGGAACCCCCGCTGACTGGTGCCCACCGTGTCGACACCATCGGGGGTGGTGACCAGGGCGGTCAGCCCCGCTCCGAGCGGCAAGTAGGTGGCTAACCCCTCGCGGTACAGGTACGGGCTCCCGACGTTGCACTTCACCACACAGGGGTCGCCCACCTGCAAGTCGTGCGACCTTGTGAGCGGGTGGCAGCAAGCAGCAGCAGACTGCGTCATTGCGCCCATGCCCTCGACCTGTACTGAGCCGCCTGAGCTTGGGTGGTCGCGTCCAAGTCCTCCGGGCTCAGCTCGGTCCCAGCCCTCGTGCCTGTCCAGCGGCCAGCGGAGAACGCCACGAAGGCCACGCGGGCACGCGTGACCCAGCGTGAAGAGGGTCAGCGGCGAGATGAAGGCCACGTCGCCGGTCGAGCAGGTCAGGGGTGGGCAGTTCAGCACTGGTGAGCACCCCAATTGGGCCGTCCTGCCCCACGACAAAGCACGTCGAGTCCCCTTCTCCGAATCGATCGGCAATATGGCGGAGGGCACTCTGCACGGGAAAGAATGGGGGAGGCCTGACTCAGAGCTTGAGCACAAGTGGCAGTGGCCATACGGCGACGCTCCCTACAGTGCCTGCTTCACGTACTGAATACACCCATCATCACTATCATCACTACCACCACCGCATTCACCATCACCATGACCATCACCACCATCATCATCATCATCATCATCATCATCATCATCATCATCATCATCATCATCATCATCATCATCATCATCATCATCATCATCATCATCATCATCATCCCCATCCCCGTCCCCGTCCCCATCCCCATCCCCATCAACACCATCATCCGGATCTTCGTGCTCCCCACTCCCTATTGCCCCCTCTCTTTCGCGTCCTCATTTCCCCTCCTCATCATTCTGCACCTCCATCTACTTACTCGTCCTCATCATCCTGCTCATATGGTTCCTCTTCATTTTACTCCTCCCCCCTCGTCCCCCCTCCTCCTCCCCTCCTTCCCTCTCTGTTTCTCCTCTTCCTGAGCCTCCCCCTCCTCCTTCTCCCCACCAGGCGGGAATCGGAAGAAGGTAGAGAGAACACCCCCACAAAGCACAGCCCGAGGGAGGAGTGTGGAGAGATGCGTGATGGGGGTTGAGGAATGAGGGAACAGGCCTCCTTCCTCCCGCCCCCTCCTCCTCCCTCCTCCCCTCCGCTCTCGAGCCCCTTCGCCCTCCCTCGAGCTCTTGTTCTCCTCAAGCCCCCTTCCTTATGCGATGGCTCCCACTCTCGCACCACCAGACGTGTCAGCAGGCCAGGCTGGGCGTGTGGCTCGAGACTTCCTCACAGCTCCTGTTCCTGAAAGCAATAGCACCTGTAGTTACACACCTGGAGGGCCGCCGGCTCGCGGCATGCGGCGATCGTCTTTGCGCCGCGCGTGCCCGTCTTTTCAGTCCCAGCATCTGCACAGATGGAGAGGTCGGTGGTTTCCCCATCAGGCTTGGCTTATGTCGGGCCTGTCCCCTTACAGGGAGATTTTCGACGAAAAACAAAAAATACCCCAAAAATAATCAAAAAATAATCCAAAAATGATCTGGGGACTATTTCTCGAATATTTGTTGGCCTTTTTGGGGTATTTTTTCATTTTTCGTCGAAAATCCCCCTGTAGGGGGACACGCCCGACAGAAGGCTTGGCCTGAGAGGCTCTTCCCTGCTTCGAGACAGCCAGTAGGTGCGCGACCTGCGCCGGCCAGCGCTCCTCGGGCTTCCCCGGCCCTGTCTCTTTACCGGTGGCGTGCCTCGGGATTCCCTGGTCTTGTTCCTCGGCAGTGGCGTTCCTCGCCAAGCAGTGCCCAGCAACGCCAAGTGACGCCAAGGAGTGCCAAGCAACGCCAAGAGATGCCCGGCAATGCCACGCAATGCCAAGCATTGAAAAAGCGACGCAGAGCAATGCAATGCCAAGCGAAGCAATTCAACGCCCAGCAATGCCAACAAAAATGCAACGCCAAGCAACGCCAAGCAGTGCCCAGCAGTACCCAGCAGCGCCAACCAATGCCAAGGAGCAATACCAAGCAATGCCAAACATTGCCAATTAATGCAATGCCAAGCAAAGCAATGCAGTGAAGCAGTGCCAAGCATTGCCGCGTAGGAAGCGTTCCCCTAATCAGGGCAGCGCCAGTTTCGTTCTCAAAATGCGGCTCTCGCTTGAGCGCCACTCACGTATGTTTTCAAACATTCCAGCACTTCCAAAGATGAGGGGCTATTGGTTGTCTCTCGCTGCGCAAATTATTTTCAAAGCCTCCAACAGTCAGAGTGATGGCGGCCAGTACGTTTTCAACATGCGGCTCTCGTCTGAACACCGCGCTCGTTCGTTTTGAACAGATTCCACGAGTCACGGGGATGTAGACAAGTACGTTTCCACGACCAAAAACTACGGCACATGTTCATAATGCAGCTCTCGATGAAGCCTTCCTTGCACTCTACGACCCGCAGTTCCAAATTCCGCAAACAAATGCACGGAGGGATGGCGGCTCCTCTTCAAAATGGGACTCTCGCCTGAGGCTCCCGCATGTCCTATGACCATCACTGCCCCATTGTGCAACTCTCACGCGGGTGGAGGGCAGATCATTCCCCTACCAAGCTTTGCCCAAGGGGCTCGCACTTATCTGTGAAAAACTGGTGGGTGCCGGGCGCGGTTGGCTCAGGCGCTCATCGGGCTTCACGGGTCCGATTGCCTCAGCAGGAGGGTTCCTCGGGGTTCCCCGGTCGTGTTCCCCCATCTCATTGCAAAGGCCTTGGACTACCTGGACTTGTTTCGTTGCAAGGGTTCCTCGGGTTCCCTTGTTCCTTGCCGGGGTGCCTTGGTTCCTCCAGTCATGTGCCTCGGTTTCCCCAGTCTTGGGAGCCCAAAAATATACACCACCACCACCTCCCTCACCCCCTCCCTCTCCCAGGAAAGAGGAAAGGAAGAGGAGAGGAAGAGGAGAGAGGAGGAATCGACGCGGTGGTGGTGTATATTCTCTGAGTCCCCCAAGTCTTGTGCCTTGCATTTTGTTCCTCGGACTCCCCAGTCTTGTGCCCTGCTCGGGATTCTCGGGCTCCCTGCTCGGCTTCCCTGGGCTCCCTGGTCCTGCTCCCCTGCCTGGGTCCCTCGTGCTCCCTCCCGGCCCTGTGCCTCGGGGTCCCCCGCACTGCCAAGCGATGTCAGGCGCTGCGCCCGTGCAAGAGGAAGGTTTCCCCATTTTGCGGTCGCGCCAGTGCTGTGGCTGGATACTTCCCTCTCTGCGTTTCCGCTGGAAGGATAGGGGGTGGATCCATCCCAAAACGAGGTCTCGCCTGCGTGGCAAACCCAAGGGGGCGATCGTCATTCACGGGGGGGCGCTTCCCGCAGCAGGAGGGGAGGGGATTGGGGACATGAGGGTGTACTGCAGCATCATTGCTGTGTCCTGGGTTCACTCTGGTCCTCTTCCCTCCTCCTCCCCACCATCATTATCACACGCACCATCATCATCATCATCATCATCATCATCATCATCATCATCAGCAGCAGCAGCAGCAGCATCATCATCATCATCATCATCATCATCATCATCAGCAGCAGCATCATCATCATCATCAGCATCATCACCATCATAATCAGCAGCATCGTCAACATCATCAACATCATCGCCATCACCATCAACATCACCACCACCACGATCATCACCATCACCATCACCATCATTACCGTCATCGTCGCCGTTGTGGTGACCATTACCAACATCATCGTGATCACCCTCGTCGCTATCGTCATTGTCATTGCCATCATCATCATCATCATCATCATCATCATCATCCTCATCCTCATCCTCATCCTCATCGTCATCATCATCATCATCATCATCACCATCATCATCATCATCAGCAGCATCATCATCATCATCATCAGCAGCATCATCATCAGCATCATCACCATCATCATCAGCAGCATCGTCAACATCATCAACATCATCGCCATCACCATCAACATCACCACCACCACGATCATCACCATCACCATCACCATCACCATCATTACCGTCATCGTCGCCGTTGTGGTGACCATTACCAACATCATCGTGATCACCCTCGTCGCTATCGTCATTGTCATTGCCATCATCATCATCATCATCATCATCATCATCATCCTCATCCTCATCCTCATCCTCATCCTCATCCTCATCCTCATCATCATCATCATCATCATCATCATCATCTTCATCATCATCATCATCATCAGCAGCATCATCAGCAGCATCATCAGCAGCATCATCATCAGCATCATCACCATCATCATCAGCAGTATCGTCAACATCATCAACATCATCGCCATCACCATCACCATCAACATCACCACCACCACGATCATCACCATCACCATCACCATCACCATCATTACCGTCATCGTCGCCGTTGTGGTGACCATTACCAACATCATCGTGATCACCCTCGTCGCTATCGTCATTGTCATTGCCATCCTCATCATCATCATCATCATCATCCTCATCCTCATCCTCATCATCATCTTTTCATATTTTCATCTTTACATCTTTTCATATTTTCATCTTTTCATCTTTTCATCATCATCATCATCATCATCAGCATCATCACCACCATCACAACCACCACCATCATCATCATCATCCTCATCCTCATCCTCATCCTCATCATCATCAGCATCTCCTTCATCTTCATCTTCATCTTCATCTTCATCTTCATCTTCATCTTCATCTTCATCTTCATCTTCATCATCTTCTTCATCATCTTCATCGTCATCACCACCACCGCCACCATCCATTGATCCCCGCCACCACCCTCGCCGCCGCCACCACCGCCCCTCCTCGCTGGCGCCACCGCCACCGCCATCGCCGCCGCCGTGCTGCCACCGCCCCCGCTCGCCCACGCCGCCATGCCAAGGCCACCCCCCGCCTGACGAGGCGTGCTGGGCCGCGCCGTTCGGCTGCGCCGCCTGCGGCCGCGGCCTGCGCGGGGCGGCGGCGGCGTGCGCCGCCGACGGTCCCGGGGGCACCGAGGGGGGGGCAACAAGCTGGCGCGGGCGGCGGGAGCACGGGCGGCACCGATGGGGCGCGCGCAGGGGCGGGAGGCGGGCGGCAGCGCGAGCAGCGCGAGCAGCAGCAGCAGCAGCAGCATTAGCAGCAGCAGCGGCAGCGGCAGCAGCGGCAGCAGCAGCGCGCCCCCCCGCGGCTCTCCACGGTTTGACGCGCCTCCCCACGGCTCCCCACGGGCTCACGCGCTCGCCCGCGCTTCTCCAAGGGCCCATGCTCTTACCCACGCTTCCCCGCGCTTCTCCACAGTGCCCCACGGGGGGCGAATGTGAGCAGCAGGGCTTGGGCCAGGGTGAGTCTGCGTGCGAGCCTGCGAGCATGAAAACGAGCAGCGGTCGGGGACCGGATCGGGAGCGAGGTTCGGCGGGCAAGGGTCGAGGTAAGCAGCTGCGCGACACGCAGGAAAGAACAACCTTCGGTCCTTTCGCACGCGGTCTGGTTTCCGACATTATCGAGGAAGAGAAGATGTGCGCCGCACCCCAAGCGGCAGCGCGGCTGTCGGGCAGAGCCTGCGCGGCGCTTCGCTCTCTCGGGCGCGGCCACGCGTCCCATGACTCGACGAACGCAGTGTATGCGCCGCGTCCAAGCGGGAGCGCCACTTCCAAGAACAAGCGCGATAAGGTGAAACGAAAACGATATTTCGCCCATTCGCGCACGAGGCGCGCGTCGTGCCAACTCACGCCATGTGGTTTGCAACGTCGACGATAAACTGCCAATGCTGAAAAAGAAACGTTGACCTCGTATGGCCTGTCGTTACATCAACAACATCGAACATACTCTGGCAGTGGACATCAGGGCGAACACGAAAAGAATGAGGCCACCGTGTCGTAAGCACTGAACGGAGTGTCCCAACGCCAGCGATAACGCTCAATGATGGATGTTGCCCATGCCTTTTCACATTCCGGAGCGCTTCTGGCCCCTTTTGGTATTGTGGGAGAGACAAGAATGCGTTACCGACTACCCGTGATATTAAACCCCTGGGGATACTAAGGTTCGGGGTCTGGGGGAGGATAATAGACGATTTTCCCGACGGAGAAAGTGAGAATACCAAGGCCCTGCCACACGCTCGTGACTTGGGAAAGCTGAAATGGTGAGAACCCCATAGCCCTTCCACACGCTCGTGACTTTCGAAAGCTGAGATGATGAGACCTCCATTGCCATGCTCAGCATTTTTGATGATGTTGCTACTTCCCATTTGAAGATAGCAACTTCGATTTGACCTCCATTTGAAGATAGCAACTTCGATTCGCAACTTCCCCCCGCGATAATCAAGTTCGACCTCGCCGCCCCTCTCCACAATCAAATAACCACTCAGGGATTAAAAGGGGGGGTACTCTTCATTATCTGGGGAAAACGGTTTGTTCCAACCGCCCTAGCTCTTGCTCGGTATTCTGGCTCCCGTTGGCCTCTACGTTGGCCTCTTGTAAAGCTCTGCCCATCTTCCTTGGTCCCCGAAACGCTGTTCTTGGCTTTGACTTTTACACCGGCTCTTTTTGTCCGCGCGTGCCATGTGCCAAGGTGCAGCTCACAGGTCCAAGGAGATTGGCAGCATAGTTAGTGGGTATCACTTGTTTAGGCTACGACGTTTGGGCTTGAGCCAAAAGTTACACAGATGAAGCGATCTACACAACAGAACGGCGCGAAAACTATTATAGAACAACTTCGGGGCATTATATCGGGCTCAGATTCACTCCAGGTTTTCACCAAACGGGGATGGCCAACGAACTGCTGTTATGATCGGACGCGCCGCGGTGAGCAACCCGAACGCGCCACCAGACCCGCCTTTAGACAGACGCACCGCGTTGAGCAGTCCGAAGGCGCCACCAGACCGGCCTAGAGACAGACGTGCCGCGGTGAGCGCCGAGTGGCGTCACCAGACCGGCCTTGGGACAGACGCGGGACGATCGCGCCCCACGGAGAAAGCAGTTGACTGCGAGGCCACAGCCTGGGGGGGATCGCGGCACCCCCCGAACCCTCGTTGCGACGGCGAGCCGCCTGAAAGCGCCACCAGGCCGGCGCGAGTAGGACCGCCGTGAACGGCAATGCAGGTCCACCACAGAACGAATAAGTGTCGCAGGATCGCCGGAGTAATCGCCCGAATTTCCGCCCTGGGAAAAAAGGCTCCAATCTGTACCGACGGCAAACTGGCGTCAAGACCGTTACGCTCTCAGTCGTATACATCAAGGTAAGTCGAGGATACAAAAGTGACGCACAGGAGCTAACCTACTCACCCAATCACTACACGCTTGCAGTTCTATCATGTACCTGCTGAGTTGCTACTGGGTCGGACGGCTGCTGTTGCACTCGATACCCTCGCTCTGCCTGACCGATCCCAGGGGCCATTGCTGGAAGTACTCTGTCCGTGGACTGTGCGCCGGCACGAGCGGGGGCGCTCGCTATGGGATGTTAGCCACATGATATGTTGGACGCGCTGGGGATCCTCACGACTGATGACCTGCCGTGGGATGGTCCCATGGGACGACTCTGAAACAATCTTTTCGGGCCTGTCAGACCGCGATGGAGGCCACTGTGGCTGGCCCAGAACACCAAATCCGATTGCCTACATGAGCTTCGCATGCTCGCTGTCCATGTCCCGAGATATTTTTGAAGGGGCCCCAGCACACACAAATAAATACACACAAATAAACTGATTCCCCATATCTTCCCATATTGTCTGGGTTTTTGTCTTCCCCCCCACTTCCAATATTTTTCTATATTTTCTGGGAATCGACGATTAATTGTGTCTGTGTGTGTTTTCCCCTTCTGAATATTTCAAGGCAGCCCGAAAGAGAGAACCTCGGCCATGAGAGCCACCGCGGCCCGAACTCTGGATCCACCGTGGCGCGCGCGGCGCAGCTCGACGACCGCTCGGCGCCCACCGCGCACGAGGCTGCGCACTGGCCGGCAGAGGTTCATCGGGCTAGCACCAGCATCGACCACCTGATGCCACTGCTGCCCCGTGGCAGGCCGCGCCAGCGCCTCGGGTGCCAGGTGCGGCACCGCCAGCGCCTGGTGAGCCACCCTGCGCCTGGCGCGTGCGCCTGCGAAGCGTCTGGGGCGGGCCGCGGCAGCGCCCTCACGCCCAACTGGGCCGCCCACTGGGGTTACCGCCCCCCCGGTGTGGCCCATGCCCAGCCGGCGGCTGTGCGCGCGCCGCCGCTGGGCTTGGGCATCTGCGGCCCGGCTGGCCGCCCTCTCGGGCGCGCCTGGCCGGGTTTGGGCACGCTCGGGGGCGCATGCCCCATCCTGCGCGGCAGAGAATCCAACCCTGCAGGGGGCCCCGGAGCTGGGCCACTGATGGCGCGTGCACCCCTTCCCTGTTCTTCGGGGGGACCACCCCCGTGGGGTCCCGTGCATTTGGGCCCACGTGGGCGCGCACGCCCCTTCCCTTTGCGGCGGGCGGACCGACCCCTATAGGGGGCCCTGGCATATTTGGGTCTGGGCCACTCGCTGGGCCCGCCCGGCACTGCTGTCGGCAAGCTGGCGGCGGCCCCAGGTGGCCGTAGGGCCCCTGCGCGGCGACGCGTGACCTCGCCGCCGCGCCCGAAGCCCTGGGCGAGCGATGTGGACATACCGTGCGCCGTTGGAGTGCACGGGCCCCTGGGCGCCCGCGTCGAAGAAGAGCTTCTCTGGTGCCGGTGGGCGCTTCCCGCCTCCCCCCCGCGGCCGTGCGGCGGAGGCCGGGCAGGCCCCGGGCGCCAACCTGCGGCGCGCCGCCGAAGAGCCCGGCAGGCAGCAGCAGCCCGCCTCCCGGCGAGCCTGGCGGGCCTAAACGAGGCGGCCTTCGCCAGCCCGCCGCCGCAGCGCCGCGCGGCGCGCCGCTGCCGCGCAGCGGTGGCCGGCAGGGGCTGCGTGCCCTCCGCCTATAGCGGCCGGGCGCTCCGCGACGCGACGTCGCGCGCCCAACGCCCCCGGAATCTTGTGGGCCCCTGGATGGAGCCTCCAGAGAGCACCCAGCCTCGGAAAGTCAACCGAGGCCGACCCTCAGCTTGACCCAGAAAGGCTTGAGCCCCCAGAGGGGGAGACGAGAGAGAGCGAGCAAGGCAAGGGCAGGAGTAACGAGAGGGACGCCCGCACAATCCAAGGGGCCGAGAGAGCCTGGCGCTTACATCAAACAACTAATCCACAGGGCGCGGCCGGGGTGGCCCGCGAGCTCCCGCGAGAGGGTGCGCACGGCCCCAGACCTCCGTCTGGCACCTCGCCTCCAGAAATCTCCCATGGAGGGAGGCCACCAACCATACAGAGACACCTGTCCTGCGTCGATGGAGCATGCCGACATCATGCTCCGTCCCTCTCTACGCGAGTGTATGCGCCTGGCTGTGCACACGCAGACGCACAGATGCGCCCGCGCTGCGACTTGAAACAAGATTCATGCATGGAGGTCCTCGGGGGCCTCCAGGGGCCCACAGGTCCAAGAGCGCCCTACAGCCTCGACCCTCGACCCCAGAATCGACGGTGACGCCGGAGGTCACCACGTCCGAATGTGTCGAAATTCCCTCGGCAAATCCTGCCGTCCCCGGCGGCGGCAGAAGTCCAGTCGACATCCCCGCCAGCGCGGTCCTGGGCGGGTCTGACGCGTGAAAACCATACGGGGCTCACCGATTGCATAACAAGCTCCTGCCGCGACGGTGCCGGCGTTAGTGTCTGTCACCGCGTGCATCGCGCGACCTCGGGACGATCGCGGCCGTCCGACGTGTGGCGCAGTCAGGTCGCTCAGTGTCGGCCGATTCTAGGCCGCTGGCGGCGTTCCGCCTCGAACTCGAACGCCCGCGCTAGCGGCGCCGCCTCGTCAGCACGGCGCGAGCCCGTCGCCGCTGTTCGACACCCGAGCCGCGCAGCGAACGCACGTGCCAGGTGGGCTCGCCCGATCAGCAGCGCGGTAACAGACGGCCGCCTCCCACCCCACACCGCTTGCT